TTGAGCCGAGCCGCAGCAGCCCATTTTCCTGTGCCAATCCTGAATTAATGACCGAGGCAAAAACACGTTCACTGGAGCGACCGAGGCGACTTGTTCAGCCAAATGTGAACATCCGTCGATGCAAAAGTTTGTTGAGAGGTACAGCAAATCTGCAGCCTGAAAGCCAATTGACTGAAACGAGCGAAGCTGATGCCTATCGCCCATCCGGTAATCTCAGTAGCACCGGGACTATCACCAGATCACAGCTGACTATAAAGCCCCAACGTCTGTATCAGCTGAGAAATGAGAACCCGAACAGCTCCGAAAAATCCAGTCGCCTTCCTGGAAGTATCCCTGGGATTTCACATCTCCCTACCTCTTCCTCATCAGTGCCACTGGTGCATGAAACTGCTGTTCCGTCATCTGGAATTCATAAAACTATATCAGTCACAGGTGAATTCAAACAAAATTCAGCAATACTCACAACAAATAAGACTAATTCAGGAGCAAAAAAACTTTTACGCGGTGTGAATTCGAATCCGTTCCTAGTGAGTACCACTCGTCCTCTCCTTTGTGAGAGTCGAAATTCACCTTGTGCTGTTGCGGTTCCGACCACAATGCCACTACGTGCTATTCAAGCAGTTGTTCGAGATAACGACTCCATAATCACGAAAGCGAAAGAACCATCGTCGCCTTATAGATGCGCCAGTATTCCAGAAAAAGCAAATGTTGATATTGATTGGGAGGTGCCGAAACCTGGTTTCAAGAGTCGATTCGTAACAGTGCCTACGTCTGAAGCCCCAGCTATTCCAGTCCCAAAAGCAGCAAGGCCCAGAAGATCAACAGTGGCTTGTCTCGCAACTACCGATTATCTTTCTGCTGAAGATCGTTGGAATCCTCTCTTGACCGTTGAGAAAACTTGTAGATTTCCGAAGTCTCCATGCAGTTCCATCCCCAACGGAAGCAGTTCACTAAAACGTAAAATCGCAAAAGAACTACCAAAAAAATCGTGGTTTAGCTCGTCGGTAGATGGGCCACCAGTGGAATTACAAACTGCTAATAGTTGCTGTCCAGTCCGTGAAACTGCAATTGATGATGATCTGCCATCGACGAAGCAGTCGCTGTACTGTACCAGCT